GAGAGAGAGAGAGAGAGAGAGAGAGACGGGCTAGTGCGCCATGTTTGCTGCTGCTTGGGAGGGGGGGTGGGTTGAAGGTATGGTATCGAAGGGGGGCCGTCACGGCGACTGCTAACAGTGTCAGTTTCAACCGTGCGGCGCAACTCTACCAGGAGCTTCAAAGTCACCAGAGTGTGGGTTGGCTGAGGGGATTCTTCCCTTATTGTATCATTGTACGACAACGTCCGGGGTTTCTTCCGACAAGACTTGATCTTTGCTTTTCGTGAACCAAAATCCGCACAGCGTGGTGTTCCTGTATGACTTAATTTATTTTCTGGTGCTTTCACTTCCAGAGACACTTGTGAGCACTGTGTAACTGCCTCGAGGGTGCTTGACCATTTTAACACGACGTGGTGCGATCATCCCCCTTGCGCGGAGTGAGGGTTCTCCACCCCGCACAACATGATCTACTCGACCACCATTTTTGTTACCGCCAAAATGAAACTAGAGGTAACAAAAAAGAAACGGTAACCTGGTTGCCGAGCTCACGAAGTGATTTGACTTGTTTTACAACGTCGTTGCCAAGCGACGAAAACCCAATCCCGATGGCAAACACCAAGAGGGGGTCTTGTTTTAAAACGTCTTTGCCAAGCGACGAAAACCCAACCCCGGTGACAAACACCGAGGGGGGGGGGAGTTGGGAACGAACAAATCAACAGCTTCAAGGCAGCTTCCACCGAGGCGGTGCTTGTTGCGCCGAGCGAGGTTTGGAGTGCAGTCGTGAAAGCCGTTTCCAAGACGAGGGAGACAGGGAGGAGAGAGAGCAACAAGAGGATAATTTTCTGCAACCAGCAAAAGGAGAAAGCACGGAGAAAGTACTGCGACTCATCGCCGTTTCCTGCAGAGGGGATGTGTTTTGTCGATTCAGAACGGTAATGCCCCAAAATTGGACTGCTGTGCCTTCCTCGACGACCCCTCTCGCATGTAACAGTATATCAGTTTCGTTTTCTCTAGAAGCGTTCCATTCATTTTTCGCGTGGACGCCTGAGAGCTCAGCATTCCGATTTCTCGGGCTCTCACAGAGCAGCATTTTCTCTCGCCGATAAGCATTTTCCGAATGTTCAGGCCCTCACAATCATCGTTTTGACCCTTTTCTCGCTTCGATTTTCGTTCCACACACACATCTTCTCGGCTTTTGGTGACCTCTCGCCCTGTTACTGTATACTCTGTCTGCCTCTCTCTCTCTCCCTCTCTCTGCATCTCTCTCTTTCTCTCTCTCTGCTTTTCGTCTCTCAGATCTGCCAGCTCGCAAAAATTATACCGGATTATTTATTCCGAACGTGTTTTCGTGCTCTCACAGAGCAGTATCCTGAAAGGAAGAGTCGAGAAAGGTGAAACGTTTCGCAGAACGTTCCTCAAGGAAAGAGGCAGTATTATGACAAGCGCGATGAGGATCTTTCACTCTCCAAACAAACCAAGCATCGCCACGGAAAACAAGGGACAAGGGAGGTTTTTGGGGAAGTCACCACCCACCCACCCTGAGCAGATAGTATTGATCCTAGTTATTATTTCCAACAAATTACTGCGCGTCGAGTATACGACACAGATCAATCACTAACAATTCAGCACAATGAGAATTGCAGTGATCGATCTTTCCTATTCGCGACGGAGTGGCAGCACCGACGACCACTCGTGGAAGGTGATGCCACTGGTAAATCCCACACTATCAGGAAAGAAGAACTATACATTGTAGATAATAGCTCGGAAATATTGATGTTTTCGTTTCCACTTTGTTGACCATTCCCGTTCTCTCGCTCGCTCGAGAAACTTTTTTGTCGCTTTCCTCTGCTCCCCACCCACCAAATATACATACATACATAGTATTCACCACATAGTCTTACGCTTATAATTCCTATCTCTTTGAGGTAGACTCTGGCTAGATGGTCCGCCGGCACTTCTGGTTTTCCGATCACACGACGTCTGTCGCTCTGTCCTTCGCTGCACACATGTATTTGCGGCTCTCCGCTCACACAAGGCACTAGGTCTGACCCTCTGTCGATTCCCTGTCTTTCTGTATCTACGCTGAGAGGGCTCCATTTCGGGTCTTCTCGGACCCTCCCACAGCGCTCCATTTTCTCGTTTCCGTCTGTTCCGGATCTTTGGAGCTCGCTGTTGTTTTCTTCCGTTCACCGTTTCTCTCTCATGTCTCAACATTGCGTCTGGCTCGTTCATCACACCCGGCTCGGTCGCACGTAACCTTTCTCCCTTTCACACACGTCATATTATTTCATGCCGCCAGTCTCTCTCCCCTCTTACACAACAGCAGCAGTCACATGTCACACACTACAGCCGTATGTATAGAGTTTTTTTAACATCCAAATTCATTTCCCGTTTTCACTTTTTGAAAAATGTTCACTCCGTTATCCCAAGGCCAGTCTCTCTCTCTTTCGGGCAGCCCGTGGTCTGCTCTCTGACGCGTCGGACTTTCAAATGTTTCAAAACACACGCGTTCGTCTCTCTGGGATCTCACATGTACACGCCGAACATGCACAATATCTACAAGAATTTCATCTCTCTCCGGGAACTTTTCAGGGTCGGCTTCGTTTATCTCCGTTTGTTTCTCGCGCGCACGCAAACAACCCTAAGAAGCATATTCATGGGAACGTACTTCACTGGAATCTCACAGCCACGGCATGCCACAAACGAAGGCCCCATTCAACAAACGCTGACTAACATCGTGCATCAAACACCAAGTAACATTCGTCTTGCGGTACGCTTCTCTCAGCGTGGCGGCGTAAGCCGCCAACAAGCCCAGTATAAGTACAAAGTAAAGATATGACCGCGACCGTAGCAATGGCGTAAAGCCTCTACTGACTGGCGCGCGGAACACGCACTGCTGCGCCGCTCGTGGACGGCTCGCCTGTCAGCTGTTCACACAATCATTTAGAAGTACAACACAACGCGCGGGCGGGGGTGCCACCTACCGTAGGTTTTAATATACATCACATCCCCTGGACCGATTTTCAAAGCTCGAGTACTCGGCAGAAAAAGCGGTGATGATGCCGAGAATGGCAGCGTTGGAACCGTCTCGTCGAGAGCTTTTCAAAGCTTATCCTGTGATTTCGACATCGTCGCCCTTGAGTGATTGATTTTTGGAAGTCGGTCCACTGGGTGTGGTATCGTATATCGTATACCGCGAGCGAGATGCATTCCGCGTCCATCAGCATTCCGAGCTCTTGAACCTGTGCTCCACTCCGAGGGTCCCGAGGTGCTCCAGCAATGCGGCGCGCTCTCGCGCCCGGAACGCCTTCTTGTCCACCAACGCCCCGACCCCACCAGCAACCCCTCCCCCCGCACCCGGAAACGCCGCCCGGGTGCTCCGCACAGCCTCCGTCACTGCTTCCCGCCACGTGCCCTCCCCACCTCCCCGCCCGAAATCGAGCGCGTACGACGCCAACATGTGGCCGACGTACGAGCCGCTGCGCCGGGCGAGGTCGCCCGGCTTCGGCGCGTAGTGCCCCCCGCCGATGCAGACGAAGGCGGAGCGCTCCGCCCGGGCGGCGGGGTCCAGGTCACGCCAGTTGATGTCGCCCGCTGGTGAGCCGTCTAGGCCAAGCATCCTGGGGGAGTGAGCCGTGTGTTTTTTTGGGGGGGTATTTGTTGGGGGGTGCGGTAAAAGGATAAGATGGCTGCGCATCATGTGTGCGGTGGAAGGTCAACAGCAACCCGGAAGGGTCAGCGGGTCATGTTTACTGAACCACCGGTCGTGATCAGAATGTGTGTGACTTTGGGCGTCGTGCGACAGCGTGGATCCATCGCTACGCCCAGCACTCATAAAACAACGTGACATTGCGTACCCCGGTCTAAATTCGACGCAATTATGTGCCAAAGTAAGCAATACGTGTTATACAACATCACATAAGCAGCAACGCCCAAGAACGACTTCAATCACTGAAAGTTGCTCGTAGAGCTTGAAGAGTGCCAATTCTTTGCACCATGCTGCTTTCCAAGCAACATGATTTGTTCATTGGGTGCTTCCGACAGGGCCCGAAGGGGCTATTCGCCGTCCCGCTCACGAGCTCTTTATTTCGGGCCGCTGCACCTTGTGAGAACGCTCGCCCAAACCTCTGCCGCGTCGGCTCGTCCCCAGTGCTCCTCGCTCGAGCCGATCTCGACGAACACTATCGGCGGGGGTTGGAGCAACAAAACGAGGAAACGGAGACAGCAATGAGTAATGGAAATCATTTAGCTACACAACGCGGTGATTCCTGGTTCGTACACGAGCGAAACCTTGTATCTTAGAATGTGGTTCCATCGTATCTTCACAGTCAATCCGCGCGCGGTCAATCCTAGAGCACGGTTTTTTGCCGGATGAAACAAACACACGACAAAAAAGGCCATAAAAAAAAAAAAAAGGACCTCTGAAAATACCGTAGCTGAACACTAAGATGAGCGAAACGGTACCGTTATCCCCACACACTCACTCGCTGGTGTCTCCAACCACGGGCCGTGATGCGTAACTTCCAGCGTAGTGTCGAAGGAGCTGTCCAGCCCTGCTTCTCGCGCTGCACGGCAAAGCTCTCTTAGGCAGCCCGCCAGGCGCGGCGACGGGGGTGGGCATCGGCCGGGTTTGCCTCCCGCTTCCTTTGAGGATGACGGCTGGTCACCGGGAGATGTATGGCGTTGTCGGCGGGTTGTTGGTCGGCGGGCCGCGCGGACGGGACACGGCGCGACGAATTAACTTCGATTTCGTGCAAGGAAAGGATCGTGGATCATGTTTCCCCCTGGGATGATTGTTATCAAGACGTTACACGGGATGAACGTCGATACGTTGGACGAGATGGGTGTCAACTGCACCGATGCCCGCACAGCTGCCGCACGGTAGACGAGACGATGACGTTGATACAAGTGGACAACAAATCACTGCTTTTAAGTCACAGACCATTTCAAGTAGGGCCCAGAACGACAGTTGGTTGTGTTTTTCGGCCGAGGGGGATTCAGAGAGAACAAGTCCGGCATGATGCGACACAGCGCAGTCAAGAAATACAGCAGTACCGTACACAGCAGTTCATCAAGAACATGTCCTATTTACTAGCTACAAGAATCCCACCACCGATACCCCGACGCCCCCCAACAACCCACGTTCGGGACGCCGATGGGGTGGACGCAGAGCGCGGGGACGCCGGACTTGGCCACGTGTTTGCTCAGGAACACAACATCGCTGGGTAGAGCCAAGGGTTCACGCTGCTGCTGTGACTGCTGTTCGTCAGCGCTCCCTACCGACGATGCCGAAGCCCACCTCCTGTCCGCATCGTCAAGATCGAGAAGCCTCCCTTCTACCAACCAGAGGGATGTTGGTGAAAGCTTGTGCCGGTACGCCCTGCCGTTCCGCGTGCCATCATGCTCAACACCAGGTTCCGTCTCCAGCCAGTTGCCACGGGCGAGCAGAGCTTCCGCCATCGCCCGTCCCGCCGCATCTTGTTTTGAACCGACCAGAAGAGTCGACGCCGTGGCGGTGGTGGCAGGGATAGGGGGATGGCTAGTTGGTGATGATGATGCTGTCGCGGAGCATGTTGTTGCTGCCGTTGCGAGTCGGCGACGCAGGGCGTGCTGCAACAATTTGCTTCGTGGGTTTGGCCACACAGCGAAACAGGGCAGCCGCAACAAGGCAAAAATGCTAGCCTTTCGGAAAGCTACTGTCATCCTCCTCACTCACACGTGTACACTCACACCTTTGGCTGCACACCCCCCGCACAATCTCGAGATCCGAGCGCATGAGCACGTTAGAACCATAATTTCGACTGCAACCCCCCGGGGATGCTTACCTAGCGTCCCCTACCCTCCCGCTCTGCCCGTCTCTCAACTTTTCAAATTCATACCGATCACAAGCGCAAACGCAGCACCCGACCATGGTGGGCACAAGGTCAAGGCCACCGGCTAATGATGTTGACGGCGAACAAAACAACAGCTCTGGCTCAGACGACAGAGAACCCACGGGAGCGGAAGCGGCGGCGGAGGCGGAGGCGGAGGCGGAGGCGGCGGGGGTGACTCAACTGAGACCGCATCGAAATGCTCGGTCAGCAAAGAGGTTCTCCTTGCAGCCGCCGAACAACAACACCAACGACGACGACAACGACAACAACCGTCAGAGCAACCGCAATAGCAGCTCCTCAGATGCCGGCATGACGTCTCGCCAAAGATCAGCGAAAATCTCGTCCGGACAACAAGCATCGTCGTCGGCTCGCACTTCGCTGGAACGGGTCCCTCCAGCACAACAGCAGCAGCTCCAAGGAAAGACGCCCGAGACGCCTCCACGGCGCAGCTCGCGCAATTCAGCGGGCATAAGCAGGTCTCAAGCGCAACAGCAAGCAGAGGAAGAAAGCGCCGCTTCGTCTGCAGCGAGACAAGGTCGGAACAACAGCGGCAGCAGCAGGGCGAACGCTGAGCTCAACGCGCTCCTCGGGCTGGACGCTGCGGTGCGTGAAATGGACAAATATTTGAATTTGTTTCGGAAACTACAACGCCCGACCGCCGCCCACCGCGGTACATTATGATTTACTTGAAGACTTGAACACGGCCCCGTTGTGACCCAAAAAGACATTCAAGCATCGTCCTACACCACGGCACTTCCGGCGATCCGGGTTAGGAGCTGTTCTTCATGGCATGATTCGCCATCATGGTACCGTCATCTTCCCTCATTTTTTCATGCGCACAGCGCTCGACCACACCTTCATATCATGTAGTATAGTTTGTTGGTCCTTGTTTGTGCGCCTCGAACTCGGGTTGAAAATTCATCGGACGTTGTACGCACGCATACCCAAGGAGGGGACATTTCTGTCTCCCGGAGTTGAATCACTGTGATGGGGGAACGTACTGCTGCCATTCCATTTACAGCGAACAGAAGGAATATACGCAGGGCAATGGTTCCTTGCTTAGCATGTTCCCCTCCTCGGTCAGCATAGCTAGCCCTACGTTTCAGCATGATGTTGCCAGCCCCCTGTGCCAGTTCACAACGTCGCAATCCTACTGATCACGCCGAGCGCCACCAACTTTTTAGAACAATATTTTTCTTTTGCGGCATCAGCGCTTCAACCTCGGCTGCGGCATCGAGCTGTGAACTCTTGGACATTTGGATGTTGTGCCCCACCATGGCGCCGGCGGCATAGCAGCGTGGGCGGCAACAAGTGATGTTGGTGTATTTTGCGTATTTTGCGGTGTTTTACCCCAGAGCAAGGGGGCAGGCTCATGTTTTTCCTAATCTATTGTATCCGCCTGGACACGTGTCTCTAACTTCGATACGTGTCCCTAACTTCGAGAGTGCAGAGCAGCGGCACCAAGCACTACAGCCCTGTGTGTCTCGCGCGCTGGGTCGAGCCATGCCTTGTCACCTCGTTGCGCTGGCGAGAACTCTTCCCCAAAATGTCGACTTACCCTATGCACACACCGGTGACATCTCTCGAACTTGGTTGGAATCTGGTGTTGTCGCGTATATACCTCGCGCCGAATCTCGCCTGAGGCAAAATCTGTCAATGCTGCTGCTTTGCATGTGGGCTTCGGTGAAGCCACACTAAAAACGCCCGCAACATAATTTTATCTACGCTGCGCCCCTCCCCTCCAACAGAACCAGCGCCTCGGATGGCCTGCCCACGCTGAGTCTTCTTCTTCTGAAGAGGAGGAGGAGGAGGAGGAGGAGGAGGAAGAAGAGGAACTTGTCGTTCAAAGCCGCCGTAGATCTTGGTCCACCCGCAAGCGCTCGGGCGGCGGGGGAGGGCGGACCGCGAGCAAGGGAGCCCGCACTGCCGGCGGTAGCGCTGCCGTCACGGCGAAGCGGGTTGGGCTGCGGGGCGGCGGCGGCGGCCGTGGTGGGAGGCAGAGTGCCAAACTTAGTGCGGCGGCTGCGGATGGGGAGGCGGTAGCTGCAGAGGACGGCGGCGGCCGGCCGAAGTACTCCTTCCGCGACCGCAATACCCTTAAGCAGACGGAATTCTTCACCTATGAGAAGGTGCAGCAGCAGCAGTAGTACTTTTCGGGGAGGGGTAACGCTGTTGAACACGGGGGTCGAGGGAGGGAAAATACCCCGAGAAAAAGCTACTGGGAAGCAAAACTCTCAGGTGCCCGATCGGCAGAGCCACATTGCCACGAGGAGTAGGCGGTAAAGTAGCTCCGTGTGCGTCGTGCTGATCGTTCGTCGAAGGCAAGCGATAACAACTCGACGATCTGCGGCAAACGTCACGTTTCCCCGCGGTTGTAAATGGTGCACAGCTCGGAACCCAGCTTGCGCGCGATGCCTGCCCGCGTGCCTTTGATTCGGCGTGGCTCTCTGAGTGCATAGTTTGGCATATCTCTCCATGTGCCTCATGTGTGTGCTTTCTTAGTTAGTATCGACCTCGCTAACCAGCTCACCAATGAAAATACCTCGGTCTTTGGTAGCGGGATAAAAAACACGATGGCCAACGGGTAAGGATTCTACCGACAGGGGAGACGCAGGAGTTGGACGACAGTCAGTCCTGTGTTGTGCGTGTTTAGCGTGTGTTTTCCGTTGCGACTCCGCCGGCCTCGTATACAGCGTGTGAAATGCCGCCCCCCACTCACCCTTATACACCCACTCACCCCCTGTACGTCTCACCTGCTCACCCTCTCGTTCGGTGGTGGCGTTATCAGGAAGAGGAGAGTGAAGGAGGGAGCGAGGAGGAGGAGGAGGAGGAGGAGGAGGAAGAAGAAGAAGAGGAGGAGGAGGAAGAAGAAGAGGAAGAAGAGGAAGAAGAGGAGGAGACCGACGCGGCGACAACGAAACGGACCACCCAGAAGCAGAGGCGCTACAAGTTCCGCAAGAGGGAGATCACGAAGCGCCACGTTTTCAACGTCACCGCCGAGGAGAGGCAGCCGCGCAGGGTAAGGATCAAGGCCAGAACAAAAAATTACAAAAGGAAGAAAGAAAAGCCATCGCTGTTTACGAGAAAGGACGCGTCCCCACCAAGTTTTCATCGTGGGCTACGAGTTTTGTTGTTGGTATGGGTTGTGTGTTTTTCATCGTCTTGCTGCTGGCCTCCTCGCTCTTTCGCAGGCGTTCTTTGTTGGGCTTGATACCACCGTAGCACTGTAGCGTCTCCGTCCTCTGTTGACATCATGCTCCATCATACGCATGTTTTTTTTTTCTTGTACTTTCGGCCGCCATGCCGTTGTATACGATGTATGTGGTTTCTTACAAACATCACACGTTGCGCTCCCCCCCCCCCCCCCCCNCCGCGCGCGCCTCGCCGCCCGGTACTTCGGCTTCGTTCTGCCTTACTTGCCGCGTGATGGTACCGCGTGCCGCGCTTTTTTTTTTGGTCTCGCCAGAGCACGCGCAAAATCATCCCGTACGACATGGGCTCCCAAAGGTACGTGCAGCGGAGAACTTAGTGTTGCGCGCTGATAAAGAACCGGCAGCATCATGCAGAGAGGACAGAGATTATTCACCCCTTGTCGTAGCGGGTGAATACACCGGCAAACACGCAGCGTGAGCGGAGTTGGTTATTTGGTTGTGATGCTTGCCTCTTCGTCTTGCGGGGTGCCTGCCTTTGCTGGATGGTGCATTTCCTTCAGCGTATGTATGCATATGGAATCCACCGCACGCGGATGTAATCGATGTTTGACAAAGAAAGTGTGCTTCGCCATACGGAACGGGGCCATGGGGACGGCGTTTTCTTCCTCCGTAGATTAGCCGAACCCCTCCATTCTCCTCGTAAGTCCCAAGCACAGTCTCCTTGGGGTATTGAGCACACCTCCCCCCACCCCGCCCCCTCCCTCCTCGCAGCGTGCCCGTGAAGCGCAAGCGTTCGGGTAGAGGAGGAGGAGGAGGCGGAGGAGGAGGAGGGAGGAACGGAAGCGGGCGGCGTAGGAGCCGCCATCGCGGCATCCGCCGAAGCCACTTCGACTCTTCGAGCGAGAGCTCCGACGAGGGGGGAGGGTTCGCCGACCACGACCAAGGCTTCGAACGCTACCAGCGCAAGACCCACGAGCGCGAGCTGGGCTCCATCCAGCCGATCAACTCTTTCGGGCCTACCCCAGCGGGAGGCGGCGGCGGCGGCGGCGGGGGAAGCAGCGGCAGCATCGTGGACAAGGCGAGCGCGAGAGATCTGCTCCGGGCGGACGTCAGCCCCATGGAGATTGACCCGAGCATCACGTTCGACTCCATCGGCGGTGGCAAGGTGGGTACAGCCGTGTGTCGTCTGAACGGGGGCCCGCGGGGTGGGCGTGGGGGGTGGTGGCCTACTGCAGACATTTTTCACGGTCCATCCTGTTGATCCTCGTATGGTATTTGCCGTGTTTTTTTCTGTGACAACAAGGCGTCAAGCACTGCCGGCCGCAGCTCAGCTCCGAAGGGCCTCTCCGCGCTCACGACAGTACAACTAACCCACTACACTCGTGGTACCGCAAAGTTTGCCAAGTCACTCCACTCCTTCCACCTCCCAGAGACGTCTTCTCAAGGATGGAGCGTCCACCGCCCGCCGCCGCCTCCCCGTCGCCCCCCGTCCACCCTCCTCTCGCCTACAACCACGTTGTTCAGAAGCACGTGCGGATGCTGAAGGAGATGGTCATGTTGCCTCTCGTCTACCCCGAGCTGTTCGAGGGCTTCGGCGCCAAGCCCCCGAAGGGGGTTCTATTCTACGGGCCCCCCGGCACCGGGAAGACGCTGACGGTGAGGGAGGGAGGGAGGGAGGGAGGGCGGGAGGGAGGGAGAGAG